ATAAATTTTTCACAAACAAGATTAAGTATTAACTTTCTACCCTTAATAATCCTAATATAATTAATTATACCATTATTCCCCCCCTCAAGCAGAGGGTGCAGAGCATACTGTTGGTGGCGGGCAGTACGGCAACGGCAACCGCCGGCGAATCTCTAGGCACGAAACTGAGAAAAACTAATCTGAAAATTTCGATCGACTTTTGGCGGCAGTCACTAACGGGACAGCTAAGCGATTGTCGACGGAGGTGGCCGGTGGCCGGCGGCCGACAATGGTGGATGGGCGGGGCAGTCCAAAAGGCTTCAAGAGTATATTTATCCAAATATACATGATTAGTCCTATTTAGAGAATTTAAAACAATGTAGTCATATTTGTAAATTTTAGTCATGTTTTACTCTTATTTAGGTTATTCACTATTAGCCGTGGGTTGTAGTGAACTCCAAGGACACACGAGAGAGATATAGATCATGGGAAAATAATTTAAATATCCCAAACTTTTGAAGCATGTGAGGTAAGCATCCCAATTCCCAAACTTGCATAGCTAATAAAAGTACCCTGAACTTTATATAAAAGTTATCTTAGCATCATGATCATATGTGTTTTCTTTAACAAATAAAATTTATAGTGTTAAATAATTATTTTAAATATTCTAAGCATTTTTTATAGTGCAATTAACATTATAAACTCAATTGTGAATGTTATTTATTTAAAATATTGAAGCTTAGATGCTAATTTCATCCTTATAAATGACCAAAGTATTTTAAATTTTGTATTTTAACACTAAAAATTTACATTTGTTACAGAAAAAATATACTATGATAGTGCTATGATAAATTTTGTATAAACTTCGGGGTATTCAAGTTATGGTGTTTACCTCACACCCCTTAAAAGTTTGGGATATTTAAATTACTTTCCCGTTGTTTTAATTTAATAATTTTTTTTACAATTTATTTTAATTTAATACAGAGTATTAAAAAAGGTTATATGTAGAAAAAAATGAAAAAAAGAAATATAAATTAAATGTAGACAATGTCAACGACAATATCTATATATGGATTTTATACAACAATCGAAAAGCAAAACTAGTGAAAAGAGAGTTTTTTTTTAAATGGTGAGAAGAGAGTTAAAATTTAAAAATAAAAGTTAAAACAAATATGGCAATATTTAGATTCTATAAAAAAAATTTGTGAGATAAAAATTGAGACTCACGTGTAAGATTGTGTAAGATACTAGACATCGTGATTGTGATATCTCCAATGAGAATTGATCTATGTAGAAGTGATCTTCTCACTAGCTTTTGTCTAGAGTTTGTCTTTCCGGCATACGTCGTTTCTTGTCCGGTGAATGATTTGGAGCGACGGTGGGAAGACAATCGTTACCACGCTCTGCCTCTCCATGATTTGTTTCTCTATGATTGATGTTTCTGGATGTGTTGTTATGGATTGGATCTGGAGATTTGTGATTGATACCTTCGATTGGAAAAACGTCTGACGAATTCTGGATCGAGTTCTTAGCAAGGGAGAAGACTGATCGGCGGCCCGCCTCCTCTTGAATGACTGCCCTGTAGCGACCGAAGTGCTAGGGTTTGGAAGACGATAATTCAAGAATACTATCACAAAGAAGCTTGGAGTATTTATCAGTTATTTTATTTTTTATGGTCTTACTTTCTTTTGTTTATATTGCTCAATTTTTTGTTGATGTCTTTAGTTTTAGGTCTACAATAAAGATTGACAATTCTGCTAGATATTATGTCGTTAGAAGGATCGATATGACCTGTGATTGTTGTGTTACATCCGTTTGGTGGTTAACGATTCATATTGCTCTTTCAGGGATGATCGTTTCTAAGTCTAGTCATAGGATTGATTAGGGATGGACTGGGACGGGTAGCCCGACCCGGGCCCAGCCCGATCCCGGCCCACTACTGTGCGGGACCGGACCGGCCCTGGAAACCGGTTCCAGTACCGGGCTTAAGCCCGACCCGAGGGGATAACCGGGGGCGGCTCCGGGTCATGAAAAAAGGTGAACCGGCCGGCCAGTTCGGGCTTTTTTTGGGTTTGGGCTGAGTTTGGGTGGGCTGGGATGAGTGTTTCCAAGGGGTTTGGGGGTGGGGGGATGGGGGTTGAAATAAATAAGAAAACACACACACACAAAAAATTAAACTGGAATCGGCCCGGCCCGGAACTAGTAGACTCCCAGGCCGGTTTCGGGCCTTACCCAAAACCATCCAAGCCCGGTCAGGCCCAGGTCCGAACCGGAACCGGACCGGGCCTGGTCCACCCCTCATCCCGGCACTTTTTAGTCCCGACCTGGTGGCTATAAGAGCGGGCTTCGGGCTCATTTTTTAGGCCCAACCGGGCTCGTGCCGATCCTGAGCCCGATTGTACTATTTTTTTTTTATCATTGCTCAGGATCGTCCCGACCTGCTACTGTTTAGGCCCGGACCAGTTCCGATACAAACCCGGGCCAATACCGGACCTGAAATTTTTAGTCCTGCTCCCGCTCAGTCCAAGTCCATCCCTAGGATTGATAGTGTTAATTGGTTACACATAATTAATGCTAGTGTTGGTCTCTTTGAGTTTGTGTCAACATTCTGAATCTTAATGATATAAATATAAGCTGTATTTTCCTTCATAATAAACTCATCACTTAATCTCTTTTACTAAAAACATCATATAAGTACACTTGATTTAAAAATTGATCAATTTAGCGATTTTGACTTGTAATAGCAGGGTTTTATATTTAAAACACTAAAAAAGACGGGGAGGGGGGATTGGAATAAAATTCAGATTGTCAAACTCAATATTTTTGAAAATTTGAAATTATTTTTATATTCGACATCTATTTGACTATTTAAAAGGTTTTTATAGTTTATATTTTCTATTTTTACATTTTCACTTTATAGTTTTAGTTTTTTTATTTCTTTTAAAAAAAATTATCCATGTTTACATTTATGCTATTTTTCATATTATTAATAGATTGTTTTTCAAATTCATTTAAAACTCTACCCATAGGTCCATAACCCAATCGCGGAAATGTCACGAGTTTTCTATGTAGGCAAGTATGTTGCTAGACTATTTTTATACCTGGTTCAAGCACCATTGTTTATATTCCAGACCAGAGACAATTCCCGTTTGGCTGTTTCGGCCCGTTACTGTGCGGGCCCGGAACCGGCCCGGTTCTTGGGTCCGGGTCCGGTTCGGGCACCGAACCGGTGGGGGTGGCGGGTCCGGGCTCGGGTGTTGTTTTTTGCGGCCCGGGCCCGGGCCTAACGGTCCATTTTTTAAAAAAAAAAAATTACCATTGGGGGCATGCCTGGACTCGGGCCGGTTCGGGCCCGGTTCGGGCCTGGGCCCGGCCGGGCCTCGGGTCAGGAAAGGGAGGCCCGAGCCCGAACCGCCGGTGGCCGGTTCCGGTCCCGGTTCCGGGCCAAACCGGGCCGGGCCGGGCCGAACCGGCCCAATAATTTTTTTTTTGTTCTCCTATTTAATCCCCTACCCCTCCCCCTCAACCCCAAACCATCCCAAACCACCTCAAATGGCCCAAACTACCTAATCCAACCTAAAACTTAAAAAAATCTCAAAAAAAAAAAAATTAAAATCCGACCCGGACCGGGCCCGAACCGGCCGGGCCGGTTCACCAAAACCTGGGCCCGGGCCCGAACCGCCCAGCAGCCGGGCCGGGCCGCCCGGCCCGAGTCCAGCACTAATTGGGGGTGGTGGTGTGGGGGTGGGGTTCAAAAAAATCTATAAATACATCTATTTTCTACCATTTTTCTACACCTCTTCTCCAACTCTTCTCCATCTTCATCTTCTCTTATTATCCTACATTCCTACTTATACATATTACATATACCATTTTAAAGATGGAAAGTACATCTTCCCTTATGCAAAACAATTTTGATAAGTGGAAGGACCCGAAGACCGGACTGTAGTGGGCAACTTGCAAGTGATGCAAGAAAAAGTGTTACTTGGGGTGTTCACCCGGATACGAGATGCCAATAAAATATATGAAGTCCTGTGACAAAGGGAAAACAACAACCAACGGTGACGGAAATTCCAATTGATATTTATTAGAAAATGTACTCCGTATTTCGTATTGTTAATTTTTTCTCAATTCTCAAATGTAGTTCCTATTTCAAATAAATGCACTTGAACTTTGTTTTTAATAGGAATTTGTATAATATATAATTATTTAAAAAAAAAAAATATACTGAACCGGCCAGGCCCGGCGGGTGGCCTGACCCGTGACCCGGCCGGGTGGCCCGGCCCAAACCGGAACCGGCCATGGCCCGGGCCGGTCTCGGGCCAACCTATACCAGACCCGAGGCCCGACCGGGCCTTGGCCCGGCCCGGGTCCATCACTACCCTGGTTATAGACAATAAGACAAAGCTACAACTTGACCGGAAGGCCGGTCCCAAACCATGTGTCCAAAACAATCTGCAATCCCTATTTGGATGGCAGACTTTCCATTTTGTGCTCCCATTCGTTAGCAAAGCGAGTCCATTATTCATCATTTACCATAAGACTAGAAAAGGGACCCCAATTACGCAGGTTCAAATGTGCCTAGCTAGTCAAATCTCATTAACTAAATATGTGCCTGTTGTGAAATCAGACGAGGAAGAAACATTGGATTAGATGGATTGACAAGGTGATCTGGAGTTGAAACTTGAATCTGTGACTCTTCAGCATCGGATCGTGTAACAACCATGATGGCAGATCAAAACGCAGGGAAAATGTGTACATCATATACCACATTAGGTTATTAGCAGATAAGGGAAGAAGAGGAAGATAAATGTATATTGTATTAATCAGGTCAAAGCCTAAATATTTATACATGAAAGAAAAATACATGTCTAACAATCTCCCTAATTTTCCAACTTGTAACAAACAAAAATAAAGGAGGGGTAGGTAACATGCTACTCTACGTAAGTGTACATACGTCTCTGCATGCAAACATGCACGAGTTAATATGTGAGACAATAATGCCATGCAATCGACAATTTTTTTGAATGCAATTTCAGAGGATTTCAATAGATTTAGCTTCATCCATTTGTAGCTGTGATAGCTGCAACTATGCAAGCTACAATACAATGATATATTTCAGCAGAACGTGTTATATACTTATATACGGAAAGTTAAGCACTATGCTTACAGCTATAAGGTGCACCAAAACGAAAGTCACTCATCATTACAGAGCTAACAGAAATACAAGCTCAGAATATGTTCACTCAAGCTTATGGTAAAATGGAATTCTAAAAGAATTACACCTTATCTATGTGTGTGTATATATCTAATTAAAATGAAGTAGGTCCTATTTCAACATTACAAAGTTTAAACAAAATAACAATCAGCAAAGTCACTGAGAACCATATTCTCTTAAAATTCAATGGCCGTCATTGATAGCGCAAAAAACATTGGAGATAGATAACAGAGGTGAAACCTGAACTCCAATAACCTTAACTATTTGGATCCTCCATGAGTACATAGATGAGGTAGGGAAAGATTTATCTTAAGCTCTGCCTCATCTTCAGCATTCGCTTGAGTGTTGCTAGCCAAAAGTGACACTCATCCCAATCAGTAGTCGTGAGAAGCACCTGTAGAAATAACAATTTGACAATGGTTAGAGCCTGTTTGGGAAGGCCTACAATGTGAAATGACCAATTATCTAAAAAACGTAAAATACTATACAATATTTAAAAATAAGATTTTTTCTAAATATATAAGTACCGCCAAAATCACTCATTTCAACCAAAAATGCTATTGCTATTATTATGTGTATGAAAGAAATAAGCTCTAAATATGACCGACAACCAGTGTATGAAAGAATGGCTATACCTGGATCTGAAGAGCGGTACTGGTGTCACCATTGTCCAAAGCCTGACAAAGTTGTATAAGCTTTTCTGCAGCATTGTTAGATATATCCCCACTGTTGAGTTTAGCAAACAATGCCCCTAACTTCTTTGAATTGTCCTCAATTTCACGCCTCTTAGCCGGAATTGCCTGTGACCCTCCTAATGCTTCTGATGTCTCATTGAATAGCCTCGTCAATGTTGCTATCACAGGTTTTTGTTTAGCTGCACCATATCAAAATGATAAACATGATGGCAAACAATAAATAAACATAACCACAAACCCTCTGTTAATTCCAAATAGGGATTTTAATTGTTACAAGGGTAGTATTTTACATTCATACTGTAACTCTAAGAAATCATCACGGTATGAAATAGGCTTTGTTAAAAAATCTCAATAATGTCTATTAGCTTTGACTCTATAAGTGTGAGGTCGAGCGGTTAATCCAAATTTAACAAGCACACTGATTGTTTCACAATGAAGGGGAACCTTGGAGGTTACGGTGTTGTTGTGTGACTGAAAGGTCACAGCAGTCTCGGTAATGGCCGTTTGTTAAAATGACAAGGGAAGGATTTCCCCTTATACACCGTGTGGTAGGACCCTTCCCTGGACTCTCTCCTTGCAGAGTTGCAGGGACGCCAATGAGCACCGGGCTACCCTTTTAGTGATAGTTTGAAAACACAATGAGCAGATCGAATGAACAGAGTGGAAACATACCCTGAACTTTAGAAGTATCAACTGTCTGCACTGTGGGTGGGGGAAGAGCAGGTGCTACAGGTTGCGAGATGGAAGCTGCTTGAGTAGAAGGAATGGGGGATAGCACGGGACCCACACCAGGTCTCTGAACTCCTGAATTTGTAACCGGGGAAAAACCCCTGATGTTTTGAGAAGGTGCAAAAACCTGAGGCATCCTTTGTCCAATAGGCTGATTGACTTGCATCGCATTAGGGTCGTATACACCAGCCGCACGAGGACCAGCTGTAAAATTAGGGTTTGCCTGTCCCTGAAAACACACAAAGCAGGTCTTACACAACCTAGTTACTACGTTCAATTAAAGGCTTCAAATAAAGAAATGGTGTCTCCTGTCATCATCATACTAGTAAGAAACAAAACATACCGGATATAATTGGGAACCCAAAGAGGGCTGCTGATATTGCTCCACGTTTCTCAAAGCAGGGGGATTAGTTGGATTAAAAGGTTTCATGGTAGGTTGAGCAGATGTGGGTGGTGCAGCAATATTCCCCTGCAAAGACGATGCCGTATATAAATCTTTATTTGCTTGTGTTGCATTTATATTTGGGAAAATAATTTTAAATAGGGAGTACTACCAAATAAGCCCTCGGACTTGCATAAAAAGTGCAAATCACCCCTTATATAGGAGGCTCTGTCCGGCCGTCGCCATTTGGGGCGGTTCCCGTTGAATTTTTTAAAGAAATTTTTTGAGCATCTTATTAAATAAGTCTAGTTTACTCATGCCAAATTTCAGCTAAAAATTCAATCGGGAATGCAGCCAAATGAATTTTTGAAGATAACTGCGCAGTTAAACAGCGCAGTATATTTCAGAAAATCATATGACTGCCTTCACGGTTGAATTTTTAGCTGAAATTTGATATGAGTAAACTAGACTTAATGAATAAGATGCTCAAAAAATTCCATCAAAGTATTTCACCGGGAACCGCACTAAATGGCGATGCCTGGACAGAGCCTCCTATATAAGGAGAGATTTGCACTTTTTATGTAAGTTCGAGGGCTTATTTGATAGTTCTCCCTTTAAAATAATACCAACTATCACCCATAAATTAATTATATTACATACTTTGGAAATGATTTCTAATAATACCAACTATTTGAATATAGAACAAAAATGATACGGAGTCATTTTTCGACAAGAAATCTAGTCATTTAAGACATCAAAAACTAATATCAAATCATCAAATAAATGATATTTGGAAATGCGCATACTTATTTGATATTTTGATATTAGTTTTTGAGGAGTTAAATGACTGAATTTTTGGTGAAATATTGTTCTATATCACTTTTGATATATATTTGAATAGTTCGTATTATTAAATGTTATTTCCAAAGTACACATTATTCTTGGTTTATGGAATATAATCTGTATTACTTAAAGTTATTTTCCTTCATATAATCTGTGCATACCTACAAATAGAACACTTTATTTTGGTCCCATTAAAAATACTTTTTTGCTATTCATCCCGTTAATTAATGCCGGTTTGTTTTTATCCCTCCCTATCACCCCATGTAAACACAACTGATGTGGCTCACAATATTTGATAATGCCTTTTCCACGTCATTCTTGTAAAGATGCTTTGTATTCCATGTTTTATTTTGAGAGATACAGAAGGGCGGCATACACTAAAAGTGAGTTTCACTTGCCCCTAACTCCCGTATAATAGTTGCTGAGCAGACAGGAAGTTAATGTGAAAAGGCCAGGGCGGAAGTCTATTAGCCAATTAGTTTTTAACTAATAGAGATAGGCAGAGAAGTACTAAAAAGTAAAATTTACATGCATAAACAAATTCACAATAACCTAATATATAAAACATGCTATATTTGCAGCTTTGAAAAACAAAACATAATCCATGATTAAATAATAATTACTCCCTCCGTATCACATATATCTTCTCACTTCCAAAGTGGATGAGAATCATGAGATTAAGAATAGTGAAAGGAGATATAAATTATTGAGGGTATGATGGGAAGATAGTGAAATAATGTAATGGAATGAAGGATAAATCCAAAAAAAGTAGGTGTAATAGTGTATTATTTTTAAATTATTGAGGGTATGATGGGAAGATTTAGAAATGGGAAGATATAAATGTTACGCCCAAAAAAGGAAAATGGGAAGATATGAATGTTACGGAGGGAGTATAATAATAATACAATGCAAGTACCTGGGGAGCAAGAGGGACTGGTGTTGGAAGAAACATGTTAGGTTGTTGGACAGTTTGCTGTGGAGCGGTCTGATAGGAGGGAGGAGGATATCCCTTGAATGCAGGAACATGATGCGACTGATAGTTCCCAGCATATTGACCATTAGGGGCACTTGGTGTGTTTTGCGACTGTTGTTGTTCCTAGGCAATGACATAAGAAATAAATTAAAAAAGTCAATACTTATTAATAAAGAGTGCATGTCATATTAGAGAGTTAATTAATTACTGGATATAAGTGTTGAGATGCTTCATTCATTCCAAAATTTGATTGTTCTGAGCTGTATCCAGGTCCACTTTGAAAATTTGAGGTCTCAAAAGTCGTAGACACTGTGTCCTTGTCTGCAAGAGGGGGCAAAAATCAAATTGCAGCAATAATGTCTTACAGTTATTCAAATTCATGTTTTGCGTAGTGTTCTAACCAGTAGACAATGAGAGGGATATACGATCTTGTAAGATTGACAGCTCAGGAGACAATTCCTCAGTTCCCAAAACCTTCAAATACTTCATTGCTGTACTCAATTGCCCCTGACTTGCTAATATTTCAGCATACTTCTCAACAAGCTTGCATAGAGAGCGACTGAACCGTTTCTGTCTAGTTCCAAGTGCAAATACTATAGTCTTCTCCATTAAATCCTATAGAAAACAACGGGCATAAGTTGATATAGATAGGGGTATGCTGGGATCATTGAAAATGGTAGGGAAAGGGGCAAAAGGGCTTTTCTTGTGTTTGATTTTGCGTCTGAGAACAAAACAATAACGAAATATGTAAAAAGTTTTTATAATGTTAACATATGTTTAGACTTCTTAATCTTTATATGATAGAAATTAATGAAAAAAATGAGTACGAATGTGTCTTAACTAAATTTATGTCCCTTATATTTTCACCCACTTCTATTTATGTATACTCCAAAATCCAAATCGACCCCAATGGACGTTTATCCAAAACATCAAAAGACAAAGGCATCACAATACCTGAAGGAGGTCAAAATATGATATCCCATCATGATTATCAGCCAACTTCCTCGACCATATCTCTATTGTTTTATCAATATTCCCAGCACATATAAAACAAAGTGTTGCTGGAAGTATTTCACCGGCAGCAAATAGTAGTGCACCAAGTGTGTCGCACAACAATGTCCATTCATCTTGCTGCGCAAACTGCACGGGGAAGGCAAAGGAGATCAACATATGCTAGGCATCAGATGTCCAAAAACCAAGTGTTCCATTAGTATGTCTATGTCAGGTAAAGAGCATTAAAATGAAATTCAGGATTTGGGCTTACAGTGCAAATGAGAGCAAGTGTTTCCTTCCATGATTTCAACGGCCTGCTTTTTATAAGGCTCATGAGATCATTGTTAACCATTGCAGAAACAACCTGACATTAAAAGGTGTTAGTGTTGCACCCTAACAAATAACATCAACAGCAACAATAATTCTCCCTCAGTTCAATTTTACCCACCTAGCAGGTTTTTCGCGAAAATTAAGAGTAACATTGTAGTGATAGAGCATAGTGTGAAAAAGTGAAAGACCAGGGTGAGATGAAAAAGTTGGAAAGAGAAGATGAAATTTTAGGATAAGATACACTTATAGTAGCCAAAAAAGGAAATTGGACCAAGCAAAAAAACTTCTATAGAAGAATATAGAGCGAGTAAAATTGAATGGAGAGTGTAAACATCAAATTAAAATTGGAGGATACACAAAAAGCAGTTGTAAGATCTTTATTTGTAACCTTAAGGTAAGGCAAACGACTTGTCTTAAGGTACTGATCGCGAGTCTTTTCCCACAGGGAAGGGCCACCGACATGGGCGATAACTAGTGCATCAGCGATTCTATTAGAAGATATGCAGTGTGCGACAGCAGCCTTGAAGTCCCTAACAGCCAAGGCACGCAGAATAGCATCATTAGCAGCAGCAACGTCAGGACTTTCCTCTAATCCATTTGTCTCTTGAGGCGCTTCCTCCCATCCCGGACTGGCTTCATTAGTATAAAAGTTATTTCCAGAGGTTGACATAGGAGTGTCTGTTTTCGGGCTGGGAAGGTTGTTGAAAAAATCTTCTCCATTATCAAATGGCTGCCCCAAGGTTTCATCTTTCACAGCACTTTGTTCTTTACTGGAAACACCATCGTGTAGACCAAGAGAAGATACTTGTTCGGTGATATCTCTTTCCTCTTCAGGCATGCTAAAACCAAGGTGAGACAGTAGTTTGGTCATTGCAGTCCCCTCTTCTTCAAACATAACCTTAAGAAATCCCCAAATCTCCCTTTCATCACTAGAGCTGTTCCAATAAAGAAATGAAATAAACAATAAGGCATTGTTGGATGAAGAAAGATCTATTCACCAACTTAAGGAAATGCCATACTTTAAATCCTGCGATTTTTTTTCACAGAAAAGCCTGAGTTGAGATCTCTCCCCATCCTGGATTGCATTCTCAAAATCGGAAGAACGGCTTACTAAACCGTGTTCAGTAATTACAGTTTTGATCTCCACCTAGAAAAGAAAGCACTTTAAACAGGGCAAAAGCCCATAAGGAGAATACAGTAATATATTTAAACTCACTCTGCACACCTCTGATGGTTTATCTGATACATTAGTGGGATAAAAAGACACCAACTTTCCTCCAAAGCCAAATGAAACACCCCCTCCCCTTTTGTACCATTTGGGAGCTTTCAAAGAAGCTGTTTCATAGTAAGTTTTTTATAGAAAAGATCAAAATCTACAGTAAGATATCAAAAGGAAAGAAATCAATACATAAAAGATTTAACTATGTCATTTACAAATAAAATAAATCATAAAGGGCAGCCCGGTGCACATTGGCGCCCCCGCAAAGCGAGGGTCCAGGGAAAGGTACCACAGGGTGTATAAGAAGCAAGCCTTCAATTGTCATTTTGACAAGAGGCCACTCCCAAGACTTGAACCTGTGACCTCTTGATCACACAGCAACACTGTAACCGGTGCGCCAAGGCTCCCCTTCAAGGAAAAATAAGGATCAATTTGTGTGTGTTGATACCAATGTTTAAACAATGAGTTTGACTCTATAACAACTAGGTAGTATGATATTTGTTGTCATTCCTAGAAGATCCATACTGACCTCCTCACAAAATAATAGTGAGGAAAATTTACCTGTAGAGATAAGCTACACTTGGGGGGGACAAAACGAAAGGTCAGTGAAGTACTTTACCTGCTCTAAAATTTCCCTCGTCAGCACCATGTCTATCACAACCCTGTGAAATGAAGATGATAATAAGCATTCAGGAAGATCAATAATTAAGAAATGCAGCAGTTGTTAATCTCCTTGCAAGCATTCACCACAAACTAGAAACCATTGCGTAATCACTGAAAGATTTAAGGCAACTTTCAGCATAATGGAATACTATTAATTGTATATTACACAATTTCTCAAGTAAGTTTCGTTCACCGAATAACACCTAGAAGGAAGAGCGTGTGATAAAGGGAACTCCAGGAATAAACTGTCATCCCTCCAAATTTTATTAAATTGTTAATCATAGTAGTTGGAAAATCAAAAGATGGGCAAACCTCAATATTGTAAATTCCAATCTTTCCATCAAATGAAGATGCTGATATGACACCCGGACACTTGGGGTACCAGTGCACATCAAAATTCCAATTAGTGCCTGATGGTAATTCAGAGGCAATCTGTAGAACGAACAGAAACTAACTTTTAGAATAAAACCATATATTGGCTGTTTCTACAAAGATATAACCATTCCCACAATACCGATGAAAGAAAAAGAGTGTTTGCCACAAGAGTTTAAAAAAAATGCTAAGACTTTCCACCTCTCCAGACAATACATCCCAACATATAGTGCGATTATCTTTTGCACAAGTAAGTAGGTAGGAACTGTCGATCGGACACCATGACATTGCAATGACACCTGGGAAAAGCAGCGACAAAGAATTAATAGTCTAATCCAATGTAATGAAGAAGTCCTGGGAAAATAGAATATTGAGACATAGGGCATCAACCCGATGCTGGGGAATTAAAGTGAATATGGAAACGCAAGCAGCACTTAACAAGACAGATGTAAATGCCTTAGGTTTTGAAAAGTGAAAATCAACATATCAGTTATTGCTTGTACTCCACTACTCACACTACTCATGCTGATTTCAGAGTAAATTCAAGAAAAAAAATGAAGAAAGAGTGAACTGTTTCTAGAAGGTCGATTAACAGAGAAGAGAGGGAAATACAAAGGCAGTTAGAGAATGCCAGACCCCAAAGTCCCAAGCCCAAAATAACACCAGCCTCTTCAACTAAACATAACACCTCCTATTTATAATAGCCACCCCCGCTCCCCTATACAAACAATCTAATTATTTATTAGTCCCCTTTCCCTTTCTATTTTAGACTTTCTTATAATAGCCTAATAGGTACTGCTATCCTTAAGAGTAGGCTGTTGCCTTCCTTGATCTCTATCACTATAGCTTAATGCCTTAATCTTGAAATCCATCAGGTCGTGACTAAATCCATATGCAGCAAAACCACACCAAGGCTTTGCTAGGTGCTTAGGAAAAAGATAGAATAAGCTTAAAGCTGTCATCATTTGAAAACTATCACGGAGCATTTAAAAATATCTGAAATGCTTTTTCAACATAGAAATCTCAGCAAAAAAAAGCAGTTGTAATATATTATTTCTAATGTCCAACTTTTGGTTAATTATTTTTTATACACAAGCAACTGAACTCAGAGAAGAAACAATCAATTTACTACACATACCCTTAGTATGCCCCACAAACTCTTTCACCGGAGACATTACATTCCTCATATCCCACATCTGTGACAATATATAACTCAGTTGCAGCTTGCAATGTAAATCCGTAAAGAACATGTTGTACAACATTGAATAGGAGTCAAACTATACCGTAAGTGAAGGTGAACTGTCTTCATCTGATGCTACAATAAGCTGAGTTGCAAAATCAGGATGCCACTGCAAAACAGAACAACGCCTCCTAACAGAATCGGAAAAACTGCAGGTTTCCAACTTACATGGGTTAATTAGTGAACAATAACTTAGTACAGATCATTTGCTCTGTAATTAACATAATATAAGAAAAAACCAGACCTTATGACCGGCTTCTGCTTCCTAAGATCCCAAACCACTGTGTTAAAAAGTAAAAAAGTAAGTGGCTCATCATTTTACCATAAAATGGATAGTCAAGTATTATATCTTGTAGCTCACCTGTCGTCCCATTTAATGACGTGGATGCGAATACATGTTGAACCTTGCTGTTCCAGGATACATATGAAATTTCATTTTGGGATGATGATCCGCTACCCTACAGAAACAACTCAGAAATTTTACATACAGATTTAGTAAATTGTCTTGATAAAATTAGTATATTAATCACGATAGTGACAAAATAGGATAGCAAATCAAGCTCTGACAGATTATAATCAAATCATCATTCCATTTCTCTTAATTCATTTGACAAGGAACCTCACTAGATGAATCCCTTTTTTAAAAAATTAAAAGATAAGACTTCAGGCAATGTTACACCTTTTTTGTGTCAATATGGAAATACTACAGAGGGGCAACCGGGCAATAGCCACTTTTGGATGGAAACATATGCATTTTAGAGGTCAATGCATTAGATGTATTCCAAGTGCGTTTGTCACCAACCTTTTATATACTAGACCAGATAAGATGATCTAAATATATTAGAATCTAGATGAACAGAAAACTTTATACTCTGTAATGCTTTTAGCATTCCACAGTTCCACTAAGACACTTAGCAACTGATATAGAAAAAGAAGTAAAACATATAACAAGCACTGAAACCCCATTGACTAAGAGCAAAGTAACAACTAATAATCATAAGAAAATAAAAAAGATCGAAAGCATTGTATAATTAGTTCTTGTCACATTATTCATCCACTGAAATCACTCTCTGATTACAACTCTCTGATTAGTAAAAATAAAATTATACCCTCCGATTAAGTTTTGAAAAACCAAAACTTGTAAAGTAACGCTAAGTATGTTTTCTTTTAGACTGTAATTTGGTTTGGTTTTGGTCTGGTCTGGTCTGATCTGGTTTGATCTATTTAAGTCTGGACTGTTAAATGTCAAGTCTCTGTGTACTTTATATTGTTTAAGTCTGGTCTGGACAGCTGGCTATAGTGGGGAGGCACCTAGGCATATGCCTATGGCATTATAATCATGTGGGGCACCAATTTTTAAAAATAAAATTGTTATTGCGATATATATTTGTGTTTTAGATTCTTAAATTTATTAATTAAAAATTGTGTTCTTAGAATCTTAATTTATTCAATAAAAATATTGAGAAGTTTGTAATACAACTAATTATAATTGAGTACTATGTATAACATTATTGCTATTTTTCTCTATAAATTTTGTTAACAATTATTTTGACAAAAAGTATCTTCATTCAATAGTACTACTTCTGCCCCAGAGTAAGGTTCATGTCTAGTATTCATCCGGTCAACTTAAATTATTTTTAACCTTTCACTTTATATTTCCGATTTTTATCAAATTCGATTTTTTGTGACTTTATAATACTTTTAATGTAGTTTTTTATATGTTAATTTTATTTATTAAAAATAATCTTATTGATGACAAAGATCGGTTAACTTTATGGTCAGTCAAACATCGTAAACCAAAACGAGAACATTTACTCAAGACAGAGGGAGTACCCCTAATAATAGATAAATGGTCTAGCTATGTTATTAATAGATAAAAAGTTTTATTTACCTTTAATTGTGTTAGTATTAACAAATTTTTAGATTATTAACAATTCTTGCATTTCAGAATGCAAGAATTGAAGAATAGATTATTAAAAGTAGTCTTTTTTAGATTTTCTACTACAAAGATGGACATGTTTCAAATTTTATATGATTTGTTTGTGACTGTTTTAATTTCCCATTGCTATCTTCATTTTATTATTTATATAATTAACTATACTCTATAAACATTATTAACTAATACACTCTATAAAGATTTAATTTCAATTTTTGTCTCGGGCACCAAACATACTGGAGATGGCCCTGGGTCTGATCTGGTACTGAATACAATCCAAAAGAAAACATCCTAAACTCTCCACTTGAAAAGAAAAATACAACAAAATTCTATACGAACCCAACCTCTGAATTAACCAAAAACTAGTTACAGCACAATCCTCTAACTTATTTTGGTGGTATCCTTTGGAGAGGATGAGATAACATTCAAGTTGGGCACGGTAATGCTAATGAATCAATCATATAAGATAATAAGAATCCTACCAACTGCCAGCAAGAATCATCAAAGGAAGCCATTGTGATCTTCTAAATGCACACTTTTAGTCAAGATGCTAAATAATTATACTATTATAAGGAACTGATCAGTAGGTCTCTATTTACTATTCTCTCAAGATAACGCATCAACTATGCATTCCAGGACTGTTGGAGGAAAGAAAATGTTTAGCATTTTGGCATGAATGGTCGTGAGGCAACCACCCCAGCCTCAGAAGGGGAGCCATTTATGAGGACTAGCACATCTGAACTAAATGAGAAGAGATAGAGATTTTGACTGCAGATGTTAGGATATTTTCTTTTGGACTGTTTTCAGTCCCAGACCAGACCAGGCTAGACTTCCTTAGTTATAAAATACACAGAGACCAAACATTTAACAAACCAGTTCAGACCAGCAAATTTCAATTCAAAAGAAAACATCCTTATTCTTGTTGCTGTTGGAAGCTCAAGGTAGTATAGCACGAGCAAGTAGAATACAATTCTATGTAGCTATTTAATTATACATCTCTATTTGCTGTTGAAAGGTTTGTTTCAAACGATTATTAATTATTTCCTTTTTAACTTTCACATTCTTGTTTCATACTTCAAGAAGTACAGAGTAAATAACCATTTTCCTGACCCATACAAAAGGTCTATTAAAAAATGCACTGTTCAATTGATTAATTTGCTACAGACCTTCAGAAAGGGGAAATGTGTGGGTTCCATGGGATTTGTAATGTCCCATATGCAGATTTTGCCTTCATCAGCGCCGGAAGCAATTAGATTTGAAGTAAATGAATTAAATTCCAATCCGCGAACCTGAAAGAATAAAGAATAGCATAGTACTATCTCTTATCATCTGATTTCCAGCAAATAGAGGATTTCATAAGGAAATAAAGAACGGGACATGCAAAATGAACCACTTACAGGTCCACTGTGGTTAGACAGATGGCCAACAAAAGCTTCTCCAGCAGCTTCAGGGCCTTCTCCACACTCACTGAAGCTAGTTTACAAAACAACAAATTAAGGTGAATCATGTCTTACCAAATTTTAGAATTGTGCTAGCAAAAACATGTTTTGAAAATCATTGGAAAATTCATACAGAAAGGTAATAAGGGTGTGTTTGGCACAACTAGCTGAAAAGATACTTTTGTAAGCTTTTTAATAACTGTTAGCTTTTAGTGACCGAAAAGATCTTAAAAAGAAAAGGTGGTAGCTGTTTGGTAAAAAGCTGACTGTTTGATTTAGTTCGGTTTGGTATACAAGCTATTAGGATTAATTAGTACTAAAAGTCATGGACTTTTCTCAGATGCTACTCCCCGTAGCATCTCAAAAAAGATCTTTTAATTTTTGAAAAGCTCTTAAAAATTGTAATGCCAAACATACAACTAGAAACTTTTAGAGACTTTTTGAATAGTAAAAAGCTAGAAGGCAGGGACTTATGCGTGCCAAACATAGCCTTAAAAGTAATCTGGAAAAGCTCTAGTAAAAAAATACTCCACTCTAACCCCGGATGAAAGTTTAAAAAATCACTAAAAGTTAACCTTTTTACCTTAAAAAAATTCCATTTAACTCTCTGAATGATAAAAAAGATCAAGTAATTACACTAAAGAAATGTACTAAACGACTTTAAATCCAATGAAAATTCCATAGCTCGAATTATTTTCAAGTGGCCCGAATGAAAACTGTGTTTATTCTCAACCAAAGACATGATACACATAAAATGAATAGAAATGATGAACTCGCCATGGAAAAGTAAAAGTTCAAATCTTTAAATGCTATTGAACGAAATGAAATGTTAAGGCAGAAAAAGATTGAATGTTACGTACGAGATCAAACGCTTGGGGTTCCACAACCCAATTTTGCCATCAACCAGGCCACCAGCGATGAGCCCCATAGAGAAGTCTTCTGAAATCGACAGAGGCTTCCCCCAGGACAACCTGTTGAACCGCTCTGTACTGGCCACAGAGCCAGCCAAGATGAGCTCCCGATCATCTGACGTAAAGTCGATCTCGAAGATGTCGAGATTGGCCGTCGAACTAAATGACAGATCCACCGCTCCCGCCATGGTCCCGGCCGCAAGGTACGGCGCTTCGGGCGCGAACGCCACCGAAGCCGATCTGTTTGCCGCCTTCACAATCGCCATACTTCACCGATCAACCCAATACTGAAATGGGTTCCCTAAATGTGAATGTGAGATTGTATGGATGGATCTTGGTCTGGGTTTGAGAATTCGGAGACTCAGAGCACAGAGGATCAGATCGAAAGAGTCTATTGTTCAATTCCTTGTTTCGGTTTGGAATTTCGATTTCGCTCTACTGTCCATTCCGGCTCTCCTGTGACTTCAGTCCGGTCTTAAGATCCCAAACTTTTTTGTTAAAAATGCAAAGCTGGAAATATAAATCTATTGGCATAACTAGCAAAAATGTTCAAGAAACATGTATGATTCCTTTATAAGTCATATGGTATGAAATCACATCACATGGTAAAATAATTCAGAGAATAAAATGTTGATTTCATACTTTGTAAAAAATACTGTCATTTTACACTTGACAATATTCTGGACTTTATATTGTTTATTTTGGTTATATGGAATTGATTGAGTACATCTATCAAATTAACATATAAAAACTTTTGGAACATCTTTTAATGGGCCTTTCAATCCTTAAGATTACACAGTCACATAAATAAAAATATTGTGAGTAAAATAAATGGAGTGAGTAAAAAACAGTCTCCAAAAGAGTAGTCTATATTTTCTATGAGCTAAGTTCAGAGGTTGAGTCAGGAGTCAAGACACTTGGTCGGTAAAAAGAATTGTTTTGAAAAACTTTTATGAGTTGAGTCAAAAGTTTTGGAGTGAGTAAAAAGAATTTTTTTATCTTAACATTTTAGAGATTTTTAAATTTTGAGTTGAGTCAAGGTCTAGGTTGGCCTCCCTAGAGCTGCCCATGCTGAGTTGGAGTTAAAATTCATCCACATTATCTGTCTCCCTTTCTGATTCAGCGAGCTGGTTAGACAGCATGACTCAGCAAAGGTTTTTATCGTTACATTTTTCGATGATAATATGTAAAACATGCCGCCTAATATCAAATTTCTAGCGCCGCATAAAAACTCCCGCATAAACCAAACTCTTTTCTGCATCTTCCAAAGTAGCCTACGAGGCGAAAGACTACTGAAGATTAATTTGGTTGATGCTGATGTGGATAACAATACAATTATCAGTCAAACAGATGCATGTATCAACAATTGAAGCAAATCTGAAGATGGTGCACTAATAAAAGCATGACTAGTTGACTACATATTTTGGTTGATGCTGATGTGGGTAACAATAAAAGAATTACTAATATGTGAAATTGCATCTTACAAATTTGGAGAACGAATATGGGAATCTACGATGAGTCTCACAGAGCAAATAGCTTACAATGTCGCTGGTGCAAAGTCTTAGCTGTGGTGATCAAGTTTCATGCTTTATATGAAAGACATCCAAAGAGTTGGGCAAGTCAAGAAAATATGGTACTTTGTACCACTATATACTTTTATATTTTAATAGTAATTAGTTTAGGATGTTATAATTTGTTTTGTCTAAACTCCCCATATATTGCATGCAAGAAGTTAGTCAACATGTTTAAATCCACATGCAATGATACAAAACTACGATACTTTAATTTTTCAGGAACTATAATATTGTTACATGGTATATTATAAGTTGAGGAATGAAGGCCAGAATGATACATAAGTTAATCAAGTTCACCTAAGTAGTCCACCCAAATAGTGTTTATGTGCATGCATATAATTGATTTATTTTCTCCGGACTCAAAATCGTATACTTGCTTCGCACATATAAAAACATACAGGCAATATCATTCTTTTATCAATGAAACATTGGTGTTAATCTACCATTAAGGTTTTGGATTTAAAGTATACATATTTAAAGTGTTTGACACTGAAGAGTGTAAGGTAAACCTATGATCTCACAATTATACATGAGAATATAAAGTTAGAACATGTGCTTTATAACACATAGAACATTGATAATTTGTGTTCTTTCTTTGTCAGCTTCATTCATGTATAAGCCATTGCCATACTTCATTCATTACAAGAATGTATAAAACTTCATGTATGAATAAGAACCACATTTTTGTTTTCTTATTTTGTATAGGCGAGAAGAAATGCACATGTACATATATTAATCATGGTCAATATTTCAAGTATGAACATTATTGGGAGATTATTAAAAAAGAACCCAAAATGGTGTACAATCTAAAGAGGTTTCTAAAACCCAAGCAAAAATTTGTCTACTCAAATGGTGATACTCGAGTACCAACTCCACCTATGAGTTCTACTGATGAAGAACATAAATTCATCAATCTAGATAGTACAAGTGATGGTAAAGCATGTGACGTTAAACGTCCTCAAGGGAGAAAAGGCGCTTAAAAAGAAGAAGTAAAATGATGAAAAAGGTGTTGGAGATGTTTTGAATGAGTTGCAAACTACTTTAGAAAAACAAATTACTATTGGTGAAGAAGAGTTCAAGATGAAGAGGGAAATGACTTGAAAAACTTTGACTTGCGTGAAAAGATAATGCAAAAAGAGACAGAGTTAAAAGAGAATGCTCATAAGTTAAAAGAGAAAGCTCTAAAGGGACAAGAATAAGAACCAATCTTCCCCTGAAGATGAGAGAGGCATTTGAGACACCGATCTCAGATTTTAAATAAATGGAAAAATGATAGACTTTTTGGTAATTGTATGTTTGGTCTACAATTGAAACAATTCTTTGAACAACTAATCGTATGTGTGTCTGTGACAAGTACCAATGGGAGTTAATTCGATCTTGATACTTGCATACAAGACATGTTCTTTATAAACTCTTATTTTAATGTGATTTTATGTTTGTTGTCCTGCCATTAAACACTCTCCCTTTTGTCATTTTTAGTTAAAATTTAGATTTAAGGAACATTTATTAAATTAGATATTTTGTTTTATCAATTTTAGCATGTTTGTTGTTTATATACTCATATTTCACATTAAATATTTATGCATTATTACTTGTATTATTTTTCAGAAATTTAAACCTACTAAGAAAGTAGGGAAGTATATATGTATCAACTAATTCTTCAAATGACTTCACGCTTTAGTTGCAACAGAAATGGTTGACATGCTTCTACTTTCATTAGTTTCAGCTTTCTACTTATTTGGATTTCTCTTATCTCATATCTTTGTCCTAGACCCGATTTCAAGCCAAACCTTCTCACTATCGCTATACTCACTTTGACAACTTTAGCAACTCAACGAATGACTAGATACTAATAGCTCAGTGAAGAACAGATTAAATTAAAGAAACGTAATATAAAATTATTATTGGAAAAATGAAGAAATTTCTAAAAAATATTAAAGAACTTTCTTATTATGTGAATCACTCTAATATCACGTTGCTTGTTGCCCACATGTAGCTCCCATATGTGATTGACGAGCTCATGTTTCAAATCCATGTGCATCCTATTATCTTGAACTTCTTTCATTCTTCCAATCATTCTAGAAATGATAAAGTTGTAATCATGTTCCAATTTCGCATTTTCAACTCTTTTCATCCCCATGAAGTTGCCAATTCTCAAGATTCATTATTTGACTACATTCGCTCTCAATAATCATATTACGCAAGATGATACAAGTCTTCATTATCTCCTCCAAATCTGTTTGCTTCCACATATGTGTCAGACCTTTAACAATGTGCCACCTACTTTGTGAAACTCCAAATGCAAGCTTCACATCCTTCCTCGTAGCGTCGTGGCGCAGAAAAAATATTTTCTCTTTAAGAGAAGAAGGCCAAGAGACAGACTACATTAATATTTGTACACTCCTTATAATTTAGTGTATTTGTACGTATTCTTAGAAGACAAAGTTGTAAAATCTTAGTTAGTTTACATGTCCATTTCGACGTGAATAGTTGACATCACTATAAGGAAAAGTGACTTGTGCCACGAAAAATGTTGTTGCCCATAGTCATTATATTGTTGCCCATTTTTTTGAGCAATGAAAAAATTTGTCATGAGGTCGTAGCCCAAGCATCGAGGCCCACAATGTTTTATGTGACAAACCAAATTTTCGTAGCCCATAATAATGTTTGTGCGTCAGAACCCTTCATTGCCCATGGATGTACTTTGTGCAACAAATTTGCTTACTCGTAGTTCAAATTACTTTTGTGTGTTGCAATTCTATGTGGCACATATGCTCCTTGTGCAACAAAATACTACCAGCCATAGCATATATATTTATTTTACATCGCAATTTTCGGTGGCACACAAGTCTTTTGTGCAACGAAAACTTCCGTTTCATTGCCTATAGAAATGTATGTGCATTAATATGATTTGACGCACTTGAGTATTTTGTTCATCGTAATTCGTAAAGTTTTTATATCTTTTGTGCAATAAGTGTTCACATATAAAAACTATGACATCTAAGAAATGGTTTTTATTATGTGTGAAATTAATATATTTCATGGCAATGAACAAAGCAATTAAAATGTGTATTTGTGTGTCTTTCGGCTCATTTTACACTATTTTATTTACAACTTTTCAAAATAGAATAAAAACAAATGATGAAAAACTATTTTATCCAAGGATTGATGTATCCATTAGCTCTCATATTACATCTTTGAAGTATTCACATCTTCAGTAAAAATCATTGGACCCTTCATCCCTTGTAAAAAAACATTAAGAAACATTAAATTTAAACAAACTGCGTGTATGTGCTGGTAAGACACATATTGATACGATTTTAAGTGATGATCTATATTAATTAAGTTGGGGCTTGACAGAAAGCTAAACGGATAATCTACTTGGTTCTAGCAATCATAAACTAATCCGTAATTAATTAAACCAAATATGAAATTTAGATGCACTGTTAATTTTATTCTTTTTGGTTATAATGTAGTGTTACTTTTGCTAAATTCTGCTTTGTTCCATATTGAGACAATATAGTTTTAAAAATAGACTTGAATGAGGCTATTGCACTCTAATCATTTTGAGAATTTGTGTATATTACAGTATTACCCTATGTTCATTCACATCTTCCAAGTAAAGGGTGTCGTACTACATTTTCTCAGTTGAGTTTTTTGAAGTTCTTTCAATGCTTGATAATCAACTAAATTACACCTTTGGTGACATACCTGTTTATTCTGCTTATGAACAAGATACATAAAACAATATTGTAAACTTTGACTCAACATATTTGGTTTAGTTAGTTATTACTTTCAATATGTAAATGAAAAGCTAAATGAATGGTTTTCTACTTTACTTATGCAGAATAACTTCATTAAGAAAAACAATCATATCTTAGGGCATAAGTTGCAGCAACTATGACATAAGAGATTTCAGTTTATATTATTTTGAATTATTTTTTAAAACAATTATGGTA